AAATTTAGGGGTACCTTTAATTTCTTCGTGATCCAATCATCGGATCTCTAAACCAAATTACGGGTACCATCTTTCCAATAAAAAAAGGATTATTGAAATCGGTTCACGTGGTAAAAAAGTTATGTATTCCGGCGAATTGATAACCTCCCCTTTTTTGAAGTCGGTTAAAAGTGTTTGAGTTCTGTTAATCTTATGTAAATAAAGTGCAGTTTATGAATTTTAAAACGTTTATTTATTTATTACATACTGTACATAAAACTTGCATAAATGTATTTTAAAGAGCGTATCAAGCAAATTTTCAGTATTTTCCGGTGATATATCTTTAGAAATATAAAAGCCCCCCTAAAATATATTCCTGGGTGCGCCCCTGATACCATTATTTTCGTACTTAATGCACTCATCTGTACCTTACTAGACTATTTTTATTCGATTGTAGAAGTTGAATTCGTTTAAGAAAGAAGCTTAAAAATAATAATAATAATATATTGGCGCTTACACATACGTTAGTGTTTGGCCGAGATTCTCCTCCGATTTGTGGCGTGCGCCTTGATGTTGTCACACAAACAGAGGGGACCTACAGTTTTACGCCGTCTCCGAACGGCGATTGTATTTTTATGAGAAGCTGTTTTTCATGGCAGAAATACACTCGGAGGTTTGACATTGCCTGCCGGGGGGCGACTGCTGCTAAGAAAAATCCTTTTTTCTACATTTTTTTGCGATGTTGCTTTGACCAGGATTTGAACCCAGGCCATGCGGAGTAAAAGCGCGCACTGCTTACCACTACACCACAGCAGCCGCAAAGAAGCTTTATAGACCTTCAAAATGATGCCTATAAATCTATCGTTTGAATAATATTATTTGGAGCTTTCATCTCCTCTTCTCATTCATCAATTTCGACTATTGCTTTTTGCAAAAATTTCTATGAAAGTCGTCAAAGATGTGCTATTGCTCTAAGTTTGTGAAATCGTGCAAAAACACGTGCTCCATAATTTTCGAAAAATCAAAGTAAGCGATATCAAGATGCTTAAGGGGGCCAAGCGAAAGGTGTATATCAAATTTGGTACAGATTGGTTAAATGATTTTCGAGATAAAAATATTTTATATATGTGGGCGGTGCCACGCCCAGTTACCAAAAATTTTATGAAAATCCAAGTTTTTGCAAACGTCTATTGTAAATATAAATTTTGAGCGAATATTTAAGTATTATTTATGCACGCTGCGAAAAAGATATGCAAATTACATACATAAATTCAAGGCCGTATTTAAGAAAAAATTACCTAACTTCAACAATTGTTGTCTGCTTTCCAAATTTGGGCATACATTATTTCGATAAGAACGTACTTTTAGAACAATAGGACATATGCATTTGGAAACTTTCATGGAAATTTCACGAAAAACGATATTCTGACTTGAAAAAATTTAGAAATGTAGGAAGTATTTCGGGTTTACCCGACTGAAAAACCACACAATAAATTTATATCCATCATTTTAAAGGCATGTAAAACTTCTTTCCAAAAATTTTAAAAATAGTACAAAAATCATTCAAGTATTATATAGATGCGTTCATCAAGTACGAAAAAGGGGGCTTTTGATAATAATAAAATAATAATATGTTGTTTATTTAATATCAGGTATCCCTTTATACTCTAAAAACTAAAACTCGTTGGTATACTTCAGAAAAATTTCAGTAGTTTCGTACAAGTTTCGAGAGCTTCGAGTTCTTTTTCAACTTAAGGAAATGCACCCAACAACTTTTAGGGTGTACTTTTTGCGGAGTGGATAAAGATGCAGGTTCGATTTCTGGTCCGAACCACATTCGAAAAAAAGTTTTTTTTTGAACAGCGGTTGCACCTCGGCAGGCAATGGCAATCCTCCAAGTGTATTCTGCCATGAAAAAATATCCCAAATTTCCTTAGCTGGTTTTTGTAAAAATCGGAAAATAATTTCTGGTTTGGTCTTTACTCATATACTATTTTTTATTAAGTTCTAGGATTAACGAGTACGCTATAGATCAATAAGGTAAAATAAACAAATTTTGAACATTAATAGTAAACTCGCGCTCAAAAAAAAAAAACACTTCGTCACTAAAACTCCAGTTACGCTATCCACATTCAGCGATACCATTGAAGAAAAATGTTTACCAACATTTTTCAAAAAGTAACCAATAAAAAAAAATATCCTACAAATAGTCCGGTCAAATTAGACCAAAAATAGGAGTGAAGTTACAATAATTCCCACCCAGCTGAAAATTGGTAGGATTGTTCAAAACACCATCATAAATGAAATCTAGAAACTCCTCATCGATGCGATACCTGAAAGAAAAAGTTTCTCGGGGTCCAAGGTACTGATATATGTTCCAAATATGAACCAAATCGGTCCAGCCGTTTAGTAGTTTAGTGACATACAATATACAGAAAACTCTATGGAATTGTGAAATTGTGACATCTCAACTTTCTTAATTTTTTGGCAACAACAGCAAGAAGTTTTGTTTTTTTTTAATCGAAAACCTTCCACACAGAAGGTCCAAAAAGCACTTTTTACAGAATTGAAATCGGTTCGGCCGTTTGGTCAGGCATCGCCGTCATACGGAAAACATTTCATTTTTATATATATAGATGACGACTACAACTCTTCCAACTTTTTGAGTCGTTATATCTCGGAGACGGTGGCTCTTATAAAAGAAGTATTTAGACATTTTTTATAGATAATTATCTGATCTACAATTTTTGTCCAAACTAATTTTATGATAAACTTACCGTTTTGCTGAAAATCGCGAAAACCCCGTTTTCGTGACCTTTGACCCCGAGTAACTTTTTTTTCAGTTATCGAATCGATGAGGACTTTCTAGATTTCATTTGTGATGGTGTTTTGAACAATCCTACCAATTTTCAGCTGGGTGGGAATTATTGTAACTTCACTCCTATTTTTGGTCTAATTTGACCGGACTATTTGTAGGATATTTTTTTTTATTGGTTACTTTTTGAAAAATGTTGGTAAACATTTTTCTTCAATGGTATCGCTGAATGTGGATAGCGTAACTGGAGTTTTAGTGACGAAGTGTTTTTTTTTTTTGAGCGCGAGTTTACTATTAATGTTCAAAATTTGTTTATTATACCTTATTGATCTATAGCGTACTCGTTAATCCAATTTTCAGCTGGGTGGGAACGCCCAAGTAGCAGCTAAGTGCCATTTTGATACCATATACCTCGAATGAGTATGTTAGAACCAGCCGGCGTGGTTGATGAAGTTGAGTATGTTGTGGAGACTTATATCAGATAGCTCTCGTAACGATGTGAACTCATATGCTACTAGCATGGTATTTCTGCTCCTCATTAGAGCTGGACATTTGCAAAGCAGGTGTTCTACTGTTTCCTGCTCGTTCTCATCTCTGCAGCTTCTACAGAAGGCGCTGTAGGCGATTCCCAGCCTTCTCGCGTGGGTACCAATCGGCCAATGCCCGGTAAGAGTCCCAACAAGCCTAGCAACGGCAGCCTGCCACGGTGCGACATCTTGGATCCGATTTCCGGAGATTGTGGAGAAATATGTCTTTATATAAGTTTCCAATTGGGGGTGAGATCCGGTCCTCGGTTGACACCAATGTGGAACCCTCTCTGGCTAACTCGTATGCAGCCTCGTTTCCGGGAATGTTTTTATGACCAGGTATCCAAACTAAATCTAGATCGAGTTCACGACTTACAGTATTTAACCGCGTCCTACACTCCTTGATTAGTTTCGACCTTGTTGTAAAAGACGCTAAGGCCTTAATGGCCGCATGGCTATCTGAGAAAATGGCTACTCGCTCGCCGTGACGCAATCCACTACGTTCTAAGAGACGGCAGCCTTCGGCTATAGCGAATACTTCTGCCTGGAAGACACTCGCGAAATCGGGCAGATGAATTGATCTTTTTACTCCCAGTGACTCAGAGTAAATACCTGCTCCAACTCCGCGTTCTATTTTGGAGCCATCGGTGTACATATGATGTATCCAGGTAGAGATATCAAGTTCCCCATCCCAGTCGGCTCTCGACGGAAGAGTGGCCCCGAAAGGCCTGTGAAACTCTCGAATGTCTAAATTGACCGGGCTANGGCCGTTTGGTCAGGCATCGCCGTCATACGGAAAACATTTCATTTTTATATATATAGATGACGACTACAACTCTTCCAACTTTTTGAGTCGTTATATCTCGGAGACGGTGGCTCTTATAAAAGAAGTATTTAGACATTTTTTATAGATAATTATCTGATCTACAATTTTTGTCCAAACTAATTTTATGATAAACTTACCGTTTTGCTGAAAATCGCGAAAACCCCGTTTT